TGTGATATTTGATTTTCATCGTCACTAGAATAATAGACTGGTTCTTCAGGTAATTCAATTTCCATTTGAATAAAAACGATTTAAAAAATAAGAAAAAATATCCCAAAATCAATTATTTCATGTAAAAAAATAAATAAAAAAGCACATTTGGTCAAAATAAATAAAAATATTCAGTCTAAACGTTGTTCACTCTCCAATGTTGTCCGAACATTTTTGGACCATCAAAACTGAAATATTTCGGGAAACTGTTCGAAACATTTCAAAAACACCGTTTCATAATTTTTACCAGGATTTCAACGTTTTTTCTTGAATTATTAATCTTTTCACCTTATTTTGTGTAAAATTTTGTCAAAAGGACAAAGTTTTTAGACAGACTTTATAACTTTTTATTTTTGTCAGCAAATGGATTCTTTTGGTAAAAAAAGAAAAATAAATACCCGTTGGATAGATTAAGATACGAAGGTGTTAACCAAATTTACTAATTTGAAAATAATAATGAAAACAAAAAATATAAAAAACAATCGAATTAATAAATAATATAATAGTTTTAACAAACAATATATTTGTTGTTTAACGTTAAATAACAATCAAATGAAATATTAAAATGAATGTTAGTGCATTTTTATATATTAAGAATTATTATTACAGATACAGATAACAGAATTAACAGAAACCACAGGAAAAACCAGAGACCAGACTATTTTTAGTTATTGAATATTAAGCGAATTTTACACAATAAAACGGGCAAATATATAAATAAATGTGTAATTTTTTATTATTTAAGCTTAAAAACGGTTATTTTTCGGGATGAAAAAAATGAATGTGTTATTTAAAGTATGAATAAACAATAGTTTAATGTGAGTTATAATAGTAAGTTTATTATTATTTATTATTATTTAATCATAAAATATTATTCTTTTGTTTAACCATGTTTAACTTCAACACAACCATTCAATTAAATCGTTCATTCATTTTTTTTCAAAGAAGATGTCGTAGTCTTCACTATTTATTCGGTTGATTTAATGAGTCACTTTTCGTTTAGAATTCAAAGTGATTCACGCAATAAATGAAAATAAAGTAAATAATAAATAAATTATTGGAATGTTGGACATTCAGTAAATAATTAATAATTATTAAACTTGTTAAACAACGGAAGATAAACCAATATACAAAACAAACTTCATTTTGGCTCAGCTAAGCATTAACAAATGAGACAACTCTGAATGATTAATTAAGAGTTTCATATTTTATAGTTTTTTCTATTTTATTTAAAAACAGTGTGTCTATTCATAGTTGGTCACTGGTTTTTGAAAATACACCAACATATTTTCCAAAAACCCGATTATTTGGGGATTTTTCCATAACAAGGAAACTATTTACCAAAAATAAAACAGCTTAATTTAGTCTGGTCCCTGGTTTATGATTTGGTCCAGGGTCAGTCTAACGATCATGTTATTGAAAAAAAACTTAAAAAACAATAAAATGGTAAATAACGTTATCATTTTTGAAAAACAAAAAGAAAATGACAAAACACAATTATTTATACCATATGATAAAATGAAGAAAAATAAAACGATAATTTATATTGAACACCAAATTGTTTTCAAATTACTTTAGAATACAACAATATACATATATATTTGTGTTGATTTAAGTGTACACTAAACCTTTCAATTGTAAATTATCAATGTAAATGAAACTTATTCAAAGTTACTCTGATAACATTTTTTTATTTAGGTGATAATAATTATTTTGACTGATTATTATCGTATTATGAATAATAGTTTTTATCAAGAAAACGAACAAAAATTAAGTTTTACTGTTTTGAACGTAATATGATTCACTCCATTTGAAAAATACATTGTTAGTTTTTTATTATGGCTAAAGATAATGAAAATACTTCTATTTGATTGATTAATTAATACTATAATATAAAAAGGACACAAATAAACTATTCAAAACCTTTGTTAAACTAAAAAATATACATATACATATATTTACAATTAATAATAATGTGTATGTTGAAAAAGTATATTAATTGTTAATATAAAAATTTTATGTTGAAATCACTAAAATTATTTTTAATAATTTAATTGGTTGTAAGTATTTTCTGTGTATACAACAATTATAATGAGTGAATATTATTATTTAATTTTAAAACTTTGCATTTTATCATTTCACATGCTTTTTTACTGTTCAATTTTTGTTCTTTAAAACTGGATTATAACACATTGTAATGATGATTTAAACATTACAGAAATTTTGTTTAAATCGTTAACTATAGTTTTACCAATTTTTAAAAACATTTCAACTCTAAAAAACTTTTTGAGTTTTTTGTTAACAACATGCAAAAACTAAAATATATATTGACACGTATTAGAGATTGCCACGAAGTTGTTTAAAAACTGGATCTTGGCCGACCCTGTTTGGTCCCTGGTTTTTTCCTGTATCTGTATCTAATAATTTATTGTTGATAATAACATAAAAATATGTTATTTATTTTAATATTAAGAATTGAATTGGCTTGTTTTCCCATTATTTGGCTAAGTATTGATTCAAATAGATATATGTTTTTAAGTTTTTTGCACTATTAATCTGTAATATACACGTAAAAAGAATAAATTATAAATAAGTTTACATTTTTTCGAAATTTTAGGTTCCAGAAGGGTAACACTTTAATATCTCAATCTTTCTTCTAGATATTTATTTTTTTAAGTCATACCAAATGAGTTTTTTTGCCAACTAAATTAAAAACTAAAACCGATTGTTTTTTTAATTATTATTTTATTAAATATAATTAACTTTAGACAATTTTTTAAAATAAAACCATTAAATATTCATAATATGTAAAATGATAATATAGGTAAGTGGATACTGTAAATGTGGAGCTTTAATAGAGCCTACAAAACAGTTTTTAAACAACCCATCTGTGCACCCCTTCACACCTTTTTTGTGTACCCATTTAGCACAACATCGCCTGTTATTTATTTTGCAAGTGGGTACCATAACGCTTTTATCTAGTATAGATAATAAAAGTTTGTGATATTGTAACTTACCAATCGAAACTGAGGGTGGATTTTATATTAAAAAAACGATTGCACCAAACACCTTTTTTGAATAACACAGTAATATTCGCAATAAATAGTTTTAAACACCATTGTTAATAAATTGACCAAATTAATAAACTTAAACTCATAATAAAAATTTCGATAAAGTATAGTTTTGTTTTAAATATTTGGGTTAATTTTTTGTAGTTTATTCCAAAAAGACTATAAAAATAATAACGATTTCGATTACAAGCAAATAACCATGAAGTGTTGTACAAAAAAACCATTCGAAAAGTTGATAGACAGACGAAAAACGCAATCAATATGAACGGTTTCTCTTCCGATTGAACATTTTGGGGTCCAAAATAAAACAATTCATTATATTTATTTTCAACACTTTTTTCTCCAACTCTTAGGTAATTTAGTCTTAATTTACACTTTATTTAATTAAAATAAAACTGTCCGTTGGCAAGTTTCAGTTTTGAAGGGGTTTCTTGAGCAAATAAAATAAAACCAAGTTTAAGACAAATGTTTTTTTTTACTTTACATTTATTTAAATAATGGTTTTTGGTTTGAAAAGTGTTAATATATTTTATTAATTTAATTCAAAATTAATTTTAAAACAGAACACCAAACTAAAATTTTTTATTAACTATTTCGATGTAATTAGAAGCATAAATATCACCGAATCTCAATTGAACAGGAATATCATTAATATCCAATTTATAACATTTATAAAAACAGCTTTTCCCAATTTTAGTAACACTTTTAGGTATTTTGATTCGACTTAAATTAAAACATGTTGCAAAACAACTTTCACCAATTGATATAACGTTTTGAGGTATGGTAATGTCACTTAACTTACAACAATATTGGAAACATTCTTTTTCAAGTGTAGTAATATTTGGTGGCAATTTTATGCAACTTAAATCACAACTTTCGAAACAACGGTTTCCAATAGATGTGACACTTTCTGGTAGAACAACGTTTTTTAATCTAGAACATGATAAAAAACAATAGTCGCCAATTGACTTTACATTGGATGATATTGTAATAGCCGTCATGTTAATACAACCAGTAAAACAACCAATGTAAAGCGCAGTAATATTATCTGGCAACTCAATATTAACTAAATTTGTTTTGTATTTAAATTTTGTGTTATTAATTATTTTTATTGAAGTTGGTATATAAATACTTAATAATTCATCGAATCCGCATATACATCTATAAGTTTTGTAGTCGTACTTCATTCTATAAACAGAATACAAAGGAGGCATTGATATATTTTTAAGAGATTTGCAATTTTTTAAATAGTCAAAACCAATTAATTTGATGTTCTTTGAGATTGATATTGCACTCAATTTGTTGCATCCTTCAAAACAGCTATCGCCAATCTTTGTGACACTATCTGGTATTTCTATGTTTCTTAAATTGTCGCAGTCTCTAAAACAATTATCATCAATTAAAATTACTTGACTGGGTATTACGACACCTGTTAAAGAGTGGCATTCACAAAAACAGTATTCAGGAAGTGTTTTAATACTCTGCGGTAAAACAATTTCAGACAATTTTGAACAGTTTTGAAAACAATTATTTCCAATTAATCGAACAATGTTAGGTATTGTCGCGGTTTTTATGTTGTTACATTTATAATAACAAAACTCTCCTATTGAAGTTACACTACTTGGAATATTCAGATTAACCAAATCAGTCAATTTACAATAACAGCAATCACCAATCGCTGTGATTTTTATAGAAACAGGTACATTTTTAAATAGTTGCAAATCATCTTTTGTAAATGTTACGTTTTTAAAAGTCACATTATAATTTTGGTTCATGACAACTGTTTGACAGTCGACATTAAACCACACTACAACTCTAAAATAATTTTTTTCACAAAACAGATATTTAAAAATATGTGTCAGATCATTAGTATTGTGATCTGAAATAACATTTTTTAAATATTCATCTTCTTTAGACCATAAATAAAATGTTTCTATTTTTGGAAAATAATTAATGGTCTTATTGTTAAGTGGAATTGGATTAAAATGAAACTTTAACATATTGTCTCTGAATTTTTTACTTACTATTTGAATGTTGACAAAGTCTTTTATAGATGTAAAGTATTTTGAGACAATCATTATGTGATATCCATCAAGTTGTTTCATTTGAATTATTAATTATTTTTTAACATGAAATTGTTTTTAAACAAAAATTGTTGATGTTTTCGATATTTTGACGAAAAAATACTTCAAAAGAATTCTAAAAATAATTATGGTTAAATTTGGATGGTTAATAAAGTTAATAATATATTATAATAACTATTATTAATATTTTTTGTAAATATTTATAGAATTTTTACAATTGTGTAAATGATTTTGAAAACTTCATCAAATTAAATAATTTATAGAGTCATTTGCTAAACGTTGTCTGCCAAATTTTAGACCATTAAAAATGGAATGTTTCGGGAATTTTTTTGGGAAAATTCAAAATCGTGTTTCATATTTTTATC